AAAGTCATTGAGAAAATTGTAAGGAGATTCGCAGAGTGTTTTGGTCGGCTGGTGAAAGTTTTGATTTCAGTCGTACATGGCAGCGATAGTAAGATGAGGGATGATGACGATAAGAAGAATAAGAAGAAGTCTTTGGCTATTAAGAAAGATATTTCTAAGGTCGGCCGATAAAGATACGGATGAGGTCCGGTTGTGTACTACTGCTACCACTTCATCAACAACAACGTAATACGCCTGTTTCTATTACCACTATTTTTCTATTGTGTTTTGAACTTGTTAGTTTAACTACTCTACGCTGTTTTCAGCGAACACGAGATGTAGTGTTGGAGGAATTTATGTTCGCTTTTCTCAGCTGAGCTCAGGAGCTCACTCACTGATTATAGGAGTAGGAATTACACTTCGGGAGATTTCGCAGAGTTTTGGTATTACTTTCGATAAGGCATGTAGTCGATCGGGTGGATACTTTCTAACGCTGATCACTTGGAGATATGTTGGCGGTGACTTGTTGGAAATATTCCTAATCGGTTTACCCGATTATAGCACTAATGATGAAAATAGGGGTGGAAGCAAGTCCACCAGGGAACGAAATTAGTGACATGCAATGTTGGAATAAATGCTCGTACTCCTCAGCTGCTGAGTGCAGAAGTTCCCTCACTAATTGTAGAAGTTTACATACAAATACGGGTGGGAGCGTACAGAAACCAATGAGAATTTCCTCAAATGTCACTTACACGTGCACATTTTTCCACACCGGTGACATGCTCTGGCGTATCGAGTGATTTGTTATTATTAGCAATGGTCGTGTTGGAAAAATTCATAAATCATCACTATTTTCGCAATTTTTTTCCTACTACGTCGCATTCGTCAACTTTTTCGTATACTACGATCATCGGTTTTCTCAAGGACTGCCGAATAAATTCGAAAGCCGTTCGAAACGATGTTGTAGTGAAATTGCTGGCACATTGGTAATGAATATGTGTTGAACGATTATACTTGCGTTAAAACAGTACAGAAGTGAAGCTGGTGTTAAGACTAACTTTAGCTGATCCTAGTATACAGTATTGGAAAATATGATCGCACTTATGACTTGAGTTATGTCAATTACACAAGTTTACATATAAGTTATTCGGGAACCGATAAGAAGTGTTAAGCCAGCATCAACACATGTAGTTGCGATAAGAAGTGTTAAGCCAGCATCAACACATGTAGTTGCGATAAGAAGTGTTAAGCCATCATCAACACATGTAGTTGCGATAAGAAGTGTTAAGCCATCAGCAACACATGTAGTTGCGATAAGGAGTGTTAAGCCATCAGCAACACATGTAGTTGCGATAAGAAGTGTTAAGCCATCAGCAACACATGTAGTTGCGATAAGAAGTGTTAAGCCAGCATCAACACATGTAGTTGCGATAAGAAGTGTTAAGCCATCAGCAACACATGTAGTTGACCATGGACATATCTTCTCACATCGGTAATGGTTTAGTACAATTAGAATGGTTTAAGAAGGAGTTTTAATGGCGATCGATCGTATATATACTTTCAAATGGAAAGTATGTTGCATAGGTGAAGAATGTAGGCATCTGTGGAGGGAAGGAGAGTGAATCCCCTAATCAGACTCAGGCTGCATTAGGTTGTTGATACTAATGTCCTTATCGATAATATTGATAATATTTATTGATAAACTAATCACAACTAGAGGGGGGAATGCCAGAATGACTTCAGTGGATGACAATTATGAAACGAATATCAGTCATCATGATTGTCGAAGGCTCATCATATCTAGTAGTTTGGTTTGGTTTGGTCTGGGAGCACGGCATCTCCTGTATACACAGTATGGCCGTATTGCTCCTGCGTCCTGCGAGGACGCTCAGTGCCACAACGGCACCGCAAGTCCGTTACCGATGCTTGGCGGCTTCGGAGGTAGTGCTCCAAGCCGGTGCACTCGCCCTCAAGAATCTCCTCAGTGCGTGGAGACCGCTATCTCGTGCCGTCGTCAAGGCCCCACGGATCAATGTGAGCCCGCGTTGTGGTCTCTCTCCTGGTAGTGATGGCAGGAGTGGATCCGCGCCCCAGATTTTCTCTCTGAGTGTACACATCTTCCTCGAGGGGCACCAGAAGAAGTGTGGTAGGTCCTCTTTATGAGACCGACAGTAGCGACATTTCCAATCCGTGATATCGGCTGAAAGATGTCGAAGATAGCCCTTCGTGCTGCTGTGGAAGGTGAGGAGTTCGAACAAACGCCGTCGATCCCCGATCTTCCATCCGATACATCTCTTCACTATAGAGGACAGTTGTTTACGGCCAAGGCCCAGACCGAGTCTGTTCACAGCTAATTGCCCTCTCTGACACCTCCACTTCTCCTCCATGTGCACATGAGAGAAGTGTATCAGCTGTGCTTTTGTGAAAGATGCCGGTTTCTCAACTTCATAGAAGATAGTCCCGGGTCCGTCCCGGGCCCCACGTCCTGCATGTAGGTCACTCAGTTCATTCAGACAGTGGCCAGCATGGCCACGGACCCACCACAAACAGATTCGATATCCCTCCGCATCCTGACCTACCCAGCGACGAATCAGGTTCGCCACGTCATGGGTCAGTTTGGTAGATGCGAGGCCGTTATGGCGGAGAGCATTGGCCACAGACTTGATCGCCGCTTGCGAGTCGCAGCATAGATAAACAATCTTCCGAAGATCACCCTCTGCACGCAGCTGGAGAGCCCATGAAACCGCAGCCCACAGGCCAACCACTTCGCATTGCGAGATGTTTGCGTGTGGCCCTGTGTTGTAGCAGCGTCCTTCATACTCAGGCTGGTGTCCCGGCACATGCCTGACGACTCCAGATCCCGTTCTTGCCGACACATTTCCCTTGTCAGTGACGGAGCCATCAGTGAAGAAGAAGTGGGCGGAATCGTCGAGAGATGGGGGCACTCCAGAACTCAGTTCACAGTGCCATCCATGAGTCAGGCCTGCAGTTTGCAAATCACCCGTTGATCGTGGAACTTCAGCACGCGAACAGTCATCTATACCCCATTTAGAGAGCACCGCTCGGACTCTCCGGTCTTCGGCGTGTCCAACCTTGTGCAGGTGGTATGTGGCGTATCGAATCCTCGCTTGAATCCAGAGTGGTTCTGTGACCATAGCCAAGCATCGCGCAGCGAGTACAGTCGAGGTGGAGCGGCTCAGTCCACAGATGGATCGGAATAGCGTCGCCTCCAAGCGAGAGCAGCGCTTTCGGAACCATTCAAACGACGAGCACTCGCCCCACAGCTCTGCCGCATATAGAAGAGTTGGGGCAATATGCATGCGCCAAGCGCAGAGCGCCAAGCTAGGCGATATGCCCCAGTATTTTCCCAGCATCCTGCGAACTGTGCTTAAGCATCTCAAGGCTTTACCGAAGGCGAAGTCCAGGTGACTGCGCCAGGAGAGAGATGCTGTGATCACCAGTCCCAGCCATCTGATGGACCTCTTAATGCTCTCGCTGATGAACTGAGCGTCAGTACCGGCTAGCTCTTCTTTCAGCAGATCAGCCGTCGCATCAGAGTCGGCGAGTGCTTCTGTTTTCTCACGGTCGATCGCGAGTTCTGCCTCGGTCGACCACGCAGAAAGAGTACCCAGAGACTGTCTCACACCAGCGGAGAGTCCAATCACACCGAGAGCAACAATCCGTACGCAGAAATCATCCGCATAGATAGCCACTTTGATAGAGAAGGGACCACTGAGATCTGTGATCCGTCTTCCGACTCGCCACGTCGATGCCGAGAAGCACACGGGCGAGAGCACCCCGCCTTGGGGAATTCCCGTTGCTCGGTAGGTTGTGAGACCATCGAGATGTACATCCCCGCCATGCAAGTAAGATTGCACGAGATCTCCCCATTGCGAAATTCCCGTGATGGCAGTGATCTCTGCTACGATATGAGCATGACCAATTCGGTCGAAAGCCGCAGCGACATCGAACGTGACGGTTATGGTGCGTGCCTCCTCAGGTTGTTGCTGCTGATGACGGATGATCGACTCCACGGCAGTGATAGTGCTGCGGTGAGGGACGAAGCCATGTACGTAATCCGGAGGAGGCCCGAGCGCCGTCAGGAGTCTCCGTTTCAGTAGTAGCTCGAAAAACTTACCCAGACATGATGTCAGTGCTACCGGTCGCCACGCTTTTGGACCAAGTCGCCCATTAGCTTTATACAGCATGCAAAGGTCCGCACGTTTGAACACCGTCGGGTAATGTGTCAATCTGAGTATCGAGTTGAAAACTCCTTTTACCGCATCGCTGAACCAGGGCACATTCTGGCATGCGTACTTCACATGTTCATAGAAGATGCCATCGTGACCGCAGGCCTTACGAGTTTTGAGGCTGCGTATAGCTGTCTCTAGTTCTTCGTTCGCTAAGGGGCCTCCCAGAGCCTTCCAGTTCCTGTCACAGTCAGCTGCCGAGTAGTCTTTCTCCTCGTGTCCGAGCGGTGGGGGGCGCTCCCGCAAGCCGAAAAAGTGATCGAGGATCTCGGCTTTATTGTAAGCGGCCACGGTTGGCGTGCGGGTTTTGAAACGCCTGTGGACCCCCACCTCATCCATTTTGCTGAATTCCATCTCTAGATGGTTCACCTTTGCCTGCTTGATAGCGTTAAAATATGCCCGCTTGGCCCGACGCATAGTTTCTTTGGCATCGATCGAGCCAGCCTCAGGTGAGCAGTGACGACTGGCGTCACGGATAACTCTCCGTGACTGGCGGTATTCTCGACGGAGTCTGTCAAGGTTTTTACACCACCAAACCGGCTTCCCAGCAGCACCGCTCCGACCTCGGGCAGTCGAAACCCGGGTTGACCGTTTGATTGCAGTAGACAAGTTGTCGCTGAGGGTAGAAGCTGCTTCATCCAGCTCTGAAACCGTGCTCGTCATGCCGGGAACGATTGAGCACTCATTCAGCGTTTTTGAGAAGGTCTCCCAATTTGTGCGTGAGGGGTATCTCTTTGGAACAGCGAGAGGTTTATTAACGAGTGCCTGGTCACCACAGGATAACGTGACGATGAGGCATGCATGATCGCCACACGTGGGAGCATAGGCGAAACAGTAGTTTGATGCCCTCTTGCATGCAAGTAGATCAATGTAGGACTCTCCAAGCGTACTGCTGTAGGTTGGGGCAGGTGGGATGAAAGCATCGAAGCCTTCTTGTAAAATAAGGTCTTCGAAAGGCCGTCCACGGATGATACGGTTATCACTTCTCGGAAGGGAGCGACGTGACCATAAGTGCGAATGCGAGTTTGTATCCCCGCCAAGCACAGTAATACAATTATTACGACCCAATTCTAGAAGATGTCTGCAAACTATGTTGCTATCTTGTAGTTTGTCGGCGTAGAATGAAATGAGACGTAGCGGTACGACGGTGCCATCCTTATCGGAAGTACCAATGTCAACCGAGACCACATCGGGTTTCTCATCGGTTGAGATGATGCATAGCGAACGCGGGACCAGAATCACTGTCCGTGACCATTCTCTGGCTCCTGGGAGAGCGTCAGGATTGCAGTTGGCCTTGATCGCGATCATATCTCGAAAGAAGGCTCCGATTTTGTTGGGCGGCTCTTGAATTAGATATACTGTGGTACTGCCCTCGATAGTTGGATCGTTGGCGAAGAAATCTTCCAGAACTCCCCAGCTACGGTTTGAGTTGAAGGATGCAACCCTTAGACAGACAGGATAACCGGCTTCACTGTTAGAGAGCATTAATCATCTCTCCCGTCTTCCAGTGCGACGGGAGAGAGAGCATCGACGGCCATATCAACGGCTGCGCCATCAGATCGATCATCTGCGGTAGTGGGAACCTCCCTACCCGTGGCCTCCCTCCTCGGAGGATTACCATTCCTGACGTAGATAGGCTTGCAACAGTGTTCAATAGCACTGTGTGGTCCATCACAGTTGGAGCAGGATCTCAACCCTCGGAAGTATTTAGGTTGAGGGCAGAGCTCTAGGCTATGCTGGCCGCCGCAGCGGACACAGCGGGCCGGTGCGGAGCAAGGCTTGTTGCCTCCTATTGGGTGGTAGCGCCCACAGTGATAGCAAAGGGAACCTTTGCTGCTCATCTTGGCTACCTTACAGGATGCTAAACCCAGGAATATTCGACCGTCCGTAGCGAATCTGCTCAGTATTGAGCTGGGCCCGCGAATTATTGCGAAGCTCTGAGTCTGCTTGATGACAGTGGTCCTAGAGGTGTCCATACCGTTCTTCTTTCCCAAGTCATTCAATAGGAACTGGCCTGAGTACGATCCCAGCTCGGAAGCACCTCGGGGGAAGAGAATCTTGATGGTGGATGTGTTTCTCAGGATCTCCTTGGTGATGAGGTTCGGATCCCTGCCGATCGAACCAACAGCAGCATTCCATTGACGTCTGTCTGGGAGGAGCAGGCCTAAGCCTCCCCCGACAGCGAAGGTGCGAGAAACACGCACGCCATTTAGAAGGCCGGATACGGCTGAACGAACGGTCTCCAACTCATCCGCGGAAAGGCTATCCCAGCGACCGTTCGGCTCGATCTTTCCTCTGAGAGTTACACACAGGATGGTTGACTCATTTTCCGATGGGTCAGGAGGCCCAGTTTGGCCGTGGCCGCGTGCCGGCTGTCGCGGTGGAGGAGCTCGATGGTTGGGAGGGCGTTGTCTACGTTGTCGGTTCTTCCTGCGAGGTCCCGCTATTCTCCACTCAGAGCTGTCCGTATCACTGTCCGCTGTCTCCTGTGGGACGCTGCCGATGTTTTGTGCTATAGTGCGAGTAGCCGTGGTAGGGGTACCGTTCCTGGTTCTCCCGGTGGCAGCAGAGATTGCTGGGAGGCTAGGCAACGCATCCTCGGGAACGTCATTCCTCGATGACGAAGAGTTGATTGAGTGGACCGAGACGCAGTCCGATTCCTGGATGCTGCGAAAAATCTCGGAGTCCACTGAGGCTCTACGCTTCTTACTACCAGCCGACGCTACTGCTCTACGTGATTCATCTATCTCACTTCTAAGTTCTACCATCTTTTTGCGTTCGTTGGCTAATTCTAGGTAAATATGCAATAGTTCAGCATCCTTCTTACTCTGGACTTCTAAATTTTCCAACCAGCGACCGCGGAGCTGGGAGATTACCTCCTTGAGCTTACCTGCTGCCGCCTTACTCCACACCGATTTCTTCGATGCAAAAGTGTCGGTTGCTGCTACTATCCAATCCAATAATGCAGAGGTGCTACCATCTAAGTCTACTTGTATGTCGATCGGGCTACGCCTTATTCTCCTTTCCTCCACGCTGCCATCTCCATCTCCGTCATCGTTCGGTTGAGAGGCGCGAGGTGGTGAGAGCGGTGGCATTACGCGAAATGTGGTTGAGTTGTAAGTGCGCAAAGGGGGCGCGAACAAAACTATCTAGTAGTAGTAGTAGTAGTAGTAGTAGTAGTAGTAGTAGTAGTAGTAGTAGTAGTAGTAGTAGTAGTAGTAGTAGTAGTAGTAGTAGTAGTAGTAGTAGTAGTAGTAGTAGTAGTAGTAGTAGTAGTAGTAGTAGTAGTAGTAGTAGTAGTAGTAGTAGTAGTAGTAGTAGTAGTAGTAGTAGTAGTAGTAGTAGTAGTAGTAGTAGTAGTAGTAGTAGTAGTAGTAGTAGTAGTAGTAGTAGTGGTGGTAGTAGTAGTAGTAGTAGTAGTGGTAGTAGTAGTAGTAGTAGTAGTAGTAGTAGTAGTAGTAGTAGTAGTAGTAGTAGTAGTAGTAGTAGTAGTAGTAGTAGTGGTGGTAGTAGTAGTAGTAGTAGTAGTAGTAGTAGTAGTAGTAGTGGTAGTAGTAGTAGTAGTAGTAGTAGTAGTAGATCTCATACTGTAAGCCACTGGTGAACACAAGTGTTCGTCCATGGTGATGGCGAATAAATCGCAATAAGAAGGAACCTCTGATGAGAGTTGAAAAGTAAAGAGATGATCACAGCAGCGTAGATCATATTTTGGGTTCTCTACGCGTGGGCGCTCCCATACGGTAGATGATAAAATGCAAAATGTAGTGGAGAGCGATACGACAGCAATGGCTATGGGTGAGCAGTCGCTTTTCAACGACCTTGCTATGTTTTCTTTGTGGAAAAAGAATTATAAACGTCTTAACATGGAAGATTATACGTGGCATGGTTGATGAACATTGCTATGCGATAGTGATGCAACTAGAGGGTATGCCGATTGCAAATCGGATGGAATAAGCGGCCATACGACTGCTGGGAGTCCCACGATGCAAGACTAGCTCCAATGCAACTCATTAAGAGTAGTGAGGTCATGTACTGTCATCCTGAAAAACGATCCGACGATAGTGTTGGTTCATTTATGAAAGGACAATGCGTTCACGGTTGGTACTGCAAGGTAGACGGTCAAGATGGTTTGTACTTACTCATCGTGACAAGGTCGATGATGCATATGCTAATACAACTACTGCTAATTCACAACGAAGGCTTGGTTTTGATGAGAAATGACTAGAAAATACGATCATCCGACTGTACTTTGCTACTGTACTCAGTAGTCAATCATGCCTCGGTGATAATACATTTAAAAATACCATTTACTGAAGTTTCGCCCGTTTAACGTGAAGTGGTGTAATACTCCATGTAAACTGTATAACAGTTGTTTTAAGTGAATCGTGAAATGTGTTTTACCTCACGGGTGAACCTCTAGTGTGCTATCAGGCTCCTTTAGCCGCAAAGCTATAGTAACCACTCAAAAGGCGCTTCTACCATCACTTTGTGGTATAGAAGTAGCCGCCTTGCCATCCCCGTGTTCGATTAGCGCGTGATGTTGAAATCGATCAGGTGATCGATTTGGGTGAGTACGGGTGTCTAAGGGGCCTCTGTCTGCCGAGTCCAGCATCAAGTCACTGTTGACTACTAACAATGGGAAAGTTGTAAGTTGTGGGAGGACTGCTGCTGACACTACGTTCGTATAATTCGCTATCATACCACTCCTTCTTCCTCTCAGCCTTCGTGCCGGACGTGTCGTCATCCTCCTAAACGGTCGCCAAGCCGGTCATAAGGCTGTGATTGCCAAAGTCAACGATAACGGCACCAAGAGCCATCCCTATGGTCACTGCCTCGTCGTTGGTATTGAGAAACACCCCCAGTCTGTTACTAAGAAGATGAGCATGAAAAAGCAGGACAAGCGCTCTAGAGTGAAGACCTTTGTGAAGTATGTCAACTTCAATCATCTCATCGCGACCAGGTAATACATAGAATAGTATTAGTGTTGGTGCATATGGTGGTGGTTGTAGATACACTCTCCCTCATGATATCGATGGTAAGACCCTGGTCTCCGATGAGGAGATGCAAACTGTTGACGGCAGAAAGCAGGCCAAGTTGAGTTTCTCAAAGTTGATGAAGGAGAAATTCCAAAAGCCTTCTCTCGAGAAGAGCGGCAACAAGCCTTCGAAGGACTTGGTCTTCCTCAGAAGAAAGCTCCGCTTCTAAGTGGTGACACTAGCAGGCCGCTAATGGTGACACCACACTGTCGATACTGGGTCTCGAAAGGAAGTTATTCATCTGTTGCGTTTTAGTAAAGTTCTTTTGGTTGTCTATAAGGTCCTTCTTGTGGCTGTTCTTTCTCATCTGGTAATAATGAGCATGTTGGTAATCCCTCGAGTGAAGCGATATGTGTTGAAACGTAACGGTTTGATAATACCGAGGCGTTGGTGTACGACCGGATCTACTTATCAGTATAGTCGAACTGCATTCCCAGGGTCGGAAGGCTCCGATATTGAGTACGGCGTATGATGGAGGAGTTGTTCGAATTATGGTATAGGTATCAATACGTTGGAGGCTACCAGAACTTTCTCATGACCGAGTCGCTGCCAAATGCAGTTCCGAGAAACCAGAATTCACCATCGAGACCAGCGTATGGACTTTACCCTGAGATCATCAGTGGAACTGCTTTCACGGCGCCACGAAATTCTAATTACTATACGTGGATGTATAGGAAATACCCTAGTGTAAGTCAACTGAGTCGATTGACTCGTGATAACGATGGTGGTGGTAGTAGTTTGTACAGGACGTATGATGTCAATGAGAGGTAATGGGAAAGTATGAGAGAAAACACGATGGCTGTGATTATTAGATTTTATGCAACCGGCACGACTACAATTATTCCAGAAGGAGTAACGCCAGAACCGTACAGGTTTAAGGCAAGTGAAGATATTGAAGGAGTTGATAATATGGCCGTCGACTGGGTGGATTCACTTTTCACTATCGCTTATCATAAGGGCGCTTCTTGTGGGGTGTATGACTTCGGAAAAGATATGTCTGAGAACTCGCGAGTGTTTATTCATCATGACGCAGATGTGATGTTTTTACCCAGGGAAAACGTTTTGAAAATACGTAATAAAAAATTGTGGTCGTGCTGGTTGCATAAAATTCAGGTACTGAATTGGGAGTTTTGAGAGGGGGTCCGAGAGAAATGATACTCATTCCAAAAGGCATCAAATATACCGTCGATAAGGCCGGCAGTGGGCGTGCTAAAGGGTGAGAAACTGGACATGGAATTTTATGCAACCGGCACGACTCCAATTAGATATTTCCTGGAGAACTACGGAGCGCCATTCAAAATTCCCGACCTTGGTCCGATCGGCATCACCTCCGGCTTAGCTCACCCGAGGCACTTTCGAGCACCAACGGCTTCAACAGTGGAGAAAAGAGGAGCGTCTGAGTTGATATCGAAATTCAGTGGGAGAATGTATGCGAAAGATGGTATGAAATTATTGGAAAAATCTTCGCTGTGCGGTGTGTAGGTACCTTTCGAAGTTGAGTAAAACGCCGTATGATGTGGTTGGTTGGTACGGAAATTATTACCCAACGGTTTACGATTTGGGGCTATTCATGGCGATTAATACCGTAACATACGATCATCCTGATCCGAGCATTGGAGTAGTGTTGCAATCGCCATCGTTATCATATGCACCAGGAACTGCTAACATCGATTTTGTGATATTCCCGCCGAGATGGTTAACTGCTGAGAACACATTTCGTCCACCTTGGTTTCACAGAAATGTGAGTTGGGAAATTTGTGGACAAAATCGTCATGCAAAGTAATTTTTTGGTATGTTGGTTTTTAGGGTCGTCAACTTTATAACGATATGAATAGATCGATACTGTTTTGAAATTACCATCATTAGTCCTGTCAGGCTAATCGGTATCACTCTGCATGCACTACAGCGTGCTACACTCTGAGTACTGGTTCGGTCCGCACTGTAGATGAGCTCGTGCATAGTGTTGGAAACCTTGATGCTTGTTGATGTTATTATAGACGTTTTTGAATTTTTTGCATTTGAAGTTTTGGTGCTCAAATCGTGTTGATTTTCTGAAAAAAAATTTCTAATACAGTTTTCATTTTAGGTTATGTCGGAGTTTATGGGGTTACTCTACGGTGGGTATGATGCCAAACAAGGCTTCAAACCAGGATGCAGTTCTATTCACAATCAACTCTCTCCACACGGTCCTGATCTTGCTACTACTACTAGTAGCAGTAATGACGGTAAACCTGAGAGGTACCACGGCACCTTGGCGTTTATGTGGGAGTCGGATCAAATTTGGATTCCGACGAAACAAGCTCTTGAGGTGCTGAAGGATGATACTTATGTGGACTGTTGGAAAGGCTCGGGTGAAGACCCGTGGGAGAGGTAGGGAAGGATTAGTATGTGGCAATTCGGTGTGAAAAATGCGAAAAAAATGAATTATTTTCATACAAAAAATGGAAAAATATTATCTAGAGAATGTAAAATTTCAAAAATTTATTACTTCAGAAAGTGTAAAGTTTTCCAAGATTTTTGGAAGTTGATCTGAAACTATATCGTATATACTTTTCCTATGAACATGTGATGTGATAAAAGTAACCTTTTCTTCGGGACCATGATAGCGACAAGTTTTTCACTAACATAAACCCCAGAATAGAAAACGCACATTTTTCTCACATAGTAAATTTGCCGAAAACTATTTTATCACATTTGTGATTGTCATCATTGCCAGATTTGATCCCAGTGAAATTCCCAACGAGCCCAGCAAGTTGCCGTTCGATCCGAATAGGGCTGAGTGAAAATGATGATGGGAAAGATGAATGTTCTTAGTAGAATCAACGTCACGGAGGTTTGAAAATAAGTTTTTACATGGTGATTTCTTTGAAGTGGTCGAACTCAATTTTATCTGCGATTTTGTTGTGTTCGCTCAGCCATACCACTCCACCGTTTATTCGCAGAGTTCTACTTTGTTACATGATCTCCTCATCACTCGCTGATGAAGGTTGACAACGTTGTTGGGTGAAGAAATGTTCCTCATCTGAGTTACGGTAGTCTACGCGATGATGGTATTAACTCGGTTGTGGATGGTATCAAGGTGCTTGGAAGTGAAATGTGTATTCCTTGGCAAACATCGGGCGGGAATTTTGTGTATATATTTCTCCAGCGACGACAAATTCTCGTATGTCGTTTAAGAAATTTGGATATATTCATATATTTCCGGTGCTGCTCAGTTGAGAGCTGATAGTGCAGGTATTGAGCTCTGAAGGTGTCGGTGGTGTAGGGATGTCTAGATTGGATTCAGAACTGCGAGGGAACCTGTGATACGAGACTTTAAATAGTAAAATTACAAGAAAAAAAGGATAGTGATTTCAGATATAATTTTCCGGCAGCTTTTTATGGTGTTTGTTGTGTTTTTCTTCGACTTGTTATTTTCCTCAGTATTGCTCTCCTATGTCTGCTGTTGTCACTGGTTGCCTCATCGGGACGTTCCCTCTTGATAATAGCCCTCAGCTACTGCGGTATCACACTGATCATGTCCCAAGGCCGATACCGTATAGTGACTTCAATAAAGTGGTGGCCTCTGCGACGACCCTTTCTGATGAGAGGATGGTAGGGGAGGGCGAAGAAGGAGCTTCTAGTGAAAACTCTGGGATTGAAATCATGGTCAGTCGTAGGGGGAATTTTAATCAGATGTTGATATTGGTTTGATCAGGTCGACGGTCTCGGCAAGGCTCTAGTGAAAGAAGCAGACTTCTATTCGGGCAGATTGGTAATAGTGACGTTTATGGTATGGTTTAACACTTATATTTTTCTCAGAGTTCTGTGAAGTTGTCGGTGTCAGCAAGCATGATACCATCACAGGTCGCCTCGAAGGGTATCCTACGACGAACTGCGATGAAGATGCTTCTATTGAGGTATCTCGATCACCCTACTGCGCCTGCTATCACCATTGGTAATAGTAAAGATGCAAAACACGTGAGTATCGGTTCTTGTAGGTCTATTGCCGTCATCAGTATCACCATCATCATGTTACGTTGGGGAAGGAGGAGCTTTGCTGACGTCCAGACTGTCTCAAATCGAGTTGCTTTCTATTGGCATTAAAGCTGGTGAGAAGTTGACAGGCGAAGTTACTCACGTATCGGGCACTAGTATTGGAGTAACGGTTCTCGGAACTTGGCCGGCTACTATTCCCAGCAGTAATATGTTGTCGGATTGGACATATGATGAGGGGGAGGCTGCGTGGAAACGTCAGAAGTCGAACTCTTGTGCTGGTGCTATCGTTAAGAAAGGTAAGTAGATAGTATTCGGGCCGTTGGGTTAGTATTACACATTGTAGGTACGCATGTTACCTTCTTTGTTGACTCGGTGGTTACTGGGAGTAGTAGTATTGCGACTAATGCGAATGATTATGCTGATGATACTTATTATTGGGAAAACTCACAGAAGGAGGACAATAGGGAATGTTATGGCGTTGGTGGTGTTGATGAAGATGATGTTGAATCAACTTTTACGAGAAAATGGGCTGCCGCTACTAAAACCATCGAGAGCGATCTCAACAACTCATCATTTAGAAGCTTAGTAACTCCGAAAGAAGTAAGGGAGAACACAGCAGTGATATCGGCTGAAAGCACATTTACCATAATCGGGGCTTTGCTGGAGCCGACTGGTGCTATGAGGGGATCTACTAAGAGGAAGACTGCTGAGCCCGAGAAGGTGGAAGGAGATGTTGTTGAGGAGAAGAGAGTAACAAAGAAGAAGAAGCATCATCACAAGGAGGCCGACAGAGACGAGGAGGCTAACGAATCTACCAAAGTTGAAAAGAAGCATAAGAAGCATCGTAAACTGAGTCACTGATAATAGAGAGTTTACTTCATTGACGTCATACTACTATGTACTTGTGTTGGTTGTTAGTGATGGGGAAAGTTCGTGGAAGCAGCTAAACGGGTCGAACGTCAACAGAAATCGGATCGAACGTCAATAAACGCTAAGAGTGTTGTCTTCATGTCACCAGGTTTCTGATATAGATGGGCAGAATTACGTTACGGGCCGGTACGGCTCACTTTTACGGTTACGTTTGAAGCCCCGTATCGTAAAATTACGGCGCCGTAACGGGTCTTCCGGAGATGCAGAGGACAAAACGAGGATTGACCATTCATGTCGCCTAAATCTATTTCATGTGAATGCAAATCCGTAGATGAGGCCGGCTTGGCACTTCCGGGACAGCCTAGGAGTGAGACGGACGGAATTTGCAAAGGAGACGAGTGGCAAATGCGAAAGCAAATGTTACTCTCTCAGCGGTTCGGTTGAGTCCGAGCCACAAGAAATGAGCTCAACAACTATTTGAGCTATGGAGGAGTGCATTACAGCGAATCTTTCCGCCACAATTCTAAAAAAGCAGTTCAGCACCAACCGTAAAGTCGTAAGGCCTTTGCGTAACCCGTAAACTGCTTACGTTACGCACGCCGTAATGTAAACCGTAAAAAAACGTTCCGCTGCCCATCTTTAGTTTCTGACACCAGGTTTGTTGTCTTTGGTTTTTCCTAGTTATGGTTATTCCATGAATCTCCAGTTCCAAATAACGATTATTCAACGGTTATCTTACCCGCGACTCGCGGCCCACGAGAACCTCGAATGGGTTATTTAATGACCCACTCGAGGTTCTCGCGACTTGGTCCTCATCAACAACAGAAGGTCCAAACCAGCAAACAGAGACGAGTCTAGTTTATCATGCATGCAAGTTTATGATGCCTTTCTTAATCAAATACATCACTTTATGCGCTAGATGTGGTGGGAGCTGACGTGGGTCAAGCTGAGCGCCCGGGTTCGACCGAAGATATCTGATAAAAACTCAAAGCTCTCATTCACCCGCATCCTCGGTCACCGCAGCAGCTTGTCAACTTCTGGGTCATTCAAGAGATCCTGAAAATACACCATTCCGCCAACAGTCTCATTCCATCGTCGTTTTAGATTGGCATTTCCAAAGTCGCTATCTTGCATTGACCATCAGCCAGTGACGTTAGAGCTGGTCAGCCAGTCGAGGACTCACTTGGCAGTCCACGGGAATATCATTTCCATCAGCACTCGAAGCGTTAACCGCCAGAGATGGTGCTGATTCTGAAGCGAGCTTTTCAAAATGCCGCGACATCAGGGCGCTGAAGGCTCGTAACCACTCGGCGAGATCCTGTGAAACACACGCGACGAGTCCGCGCCTTTCTTTCAAGTTCTGAGTTGTGCCAAAACTGTAGACGAGGTCATGCCGAATAGAGTTGCAGCAAAGGTGGTAGGGAATTTTCCGATATTTTCTGGAACAGATTTGTCGTTATTAACATGAGGGAAAACGTTCGCAATTCCGAGCAGACTTTCTAATCGTTCCTCATCGTTTTAACCACATCGTGTGGGTGGACAACTTAACGATACGGGTTCATACCGCTCTAACGCATTCTTCAGCTATGCTTCGATAGAGAACCCAATCAAGTTGCTGCTATACTCGGACAGTTTCCGCATCTCGCAAATGATGATCCAAATATACAGGATTTTCCTGGCCTCTGTTGATGGCTTTGGCTGTACAGATGTACTGTCATTCGTAATACGGTATACATCCATACGGATTCCGTACGGATGTCACCCATCGAGTGGTCATGGTCCGTACTGTCGATTTCGCCCATCTCTATTGCATTCACTATGAATTGTAACAATTCATAGTGAATGTACTAACAGTTATTCATAATAATACTGAACAGTGCTAGTAATAAAATTCTGATTGGAAGCGAGCTTCCCAGGCGGTCACCTTGTCTCCACCGATTTCCAGCTTCGCCTTTTCTGGATCCTCTTGCATGGTCCTCAGAACCCGCTGATATCGCGGGTCTGCGAAGCCCTAAATTCAAGGCATGCCATATTTGCGCTTTTAGTGAGGAAAAGATGTGTCCCATGAGCGTTGTACTATCCTGATGAGCTACACTAAGCGTTGGACTATTCTTCGTCATTCTAATTATGATGAATGCTATCACACCGCTGTAGGACTCTCGCAAAGATCTACCATCACTCAGCGTTCTTGTATGCTGAGTACGTCAGTTCTCGATCGATTTGGTCTTATCTTGATTTCCTCAAATACAGTTCTTTTCACTTGGTATTTTCAAGTGACTCACTCTGGCAAGCACAGGATTGGCCATCACTGCTTTCAGCAGCTCTGGTGACATCCACGAGTCGGAATCGCCCGAGACTCGCCTCGCAGTGTCGGTCAAGGTTGCCTGAATCTGGACACGGCGAACTCGTATCGTGCTGTGACAAGGCTCATCAGTTGCCGATTCTATAATGGAGTTTCACCCGTGGTGTAATACTCCATGTTTAAAACGCGATATTAGCGATATGAAGTGAATTGAAAACAACTTGCGAATTACAGTGCACCCATCACCTCTCATCACGTGGAGCACATCACGTATTTTACGCGTTATTCACTGCTCACATGCGTGTTTCGCCGAATGAGTTGTTAAATATGTTTTCCCTAGTGTTTTCATATCAATGATGAATGTTTGTGAACAACAATTCATGGCGAAAATAACGGCGAACTAGTTCACCTCGGGTAGCCTTAATTCCTCGTCAGTTTTTGCTGATATTCTTTGCACTCGAGGGCCATCGAGATGTCTCAGATCAACGACCTCATCATGAGACCGTTCTTTTACTTTCTTCTTTTCTCTGTCACTCACGAGGAAGCCCTGATTTCAACGTTGACCTTTTTCATGCAGATTCAGAACCTTTGATATAATATGCCGATTCGAGTTGAATCCCGCGAGATCGGAGGAGTGTGGAAAATATGTACATGGTCGACCAAATGTGTTGGTGATAATATGAACATTCTGAGGAAATTTTGGGAAATTCGTATCTGTACACCTCTACCAGAATTTGTATGTGAACTTCTATAATCAGCGAGGAAATTCCTGAGCTCAACTGAGAAGAGCAAACATATATTCCTACTCCAACACTGTATGGGATACTCCTGAGCTCAGGTGAGGGAACCGAACATATATTCCTACTCCAACACTGTATGGGAAACTCCTGAGCTTAGGTGAGGAAAGCGAACATATATTCCTACTCCAATACTGATGTGAGCTATTATAATTAGTGCAGAAGCTCTTGAAGGAAGCCAACACATATTCCAACACTGGTCCGACGCTTCTTCTTAACAACTGTTGTCAACAAGTTTACCATTTCACGGTAACCGTCGCACTTGGTGAACCACTTATTGTCATTCAGTCCCTATTAAATGGAATAGTGACAAACTTAAATTTTCATTGTCAATCTTGATTGTGACATCGTCTGCTCATATTTGCATAGGAACAGGTAGAGACATATAAACTGCGTAGGTTCGTTCCTCTAAGATCCCACCTTTTTCAATCCGGATTGTTTCTCACTCTTTCCCTTCAACCGATGAGGAACCGCATCGGATAGCGTAATTTTCTTTGCCTCGTTTTTCCTTGGCAGTTTAGTCTCATCATCGCCCCATGAGGTGCTCATGCCGAAAGCATGTATCCTGAAAAGAAGACTTGTCAACCAAGACTTTCCCTCTGACAGCATCTGCGATCTCTTAGATAAAACTGGATTTGAACGTCGACCATCCCGACGCAATGTCGAAGGGAAATATATTATATATATTCGGGAAAAAGGAGTTTAGGAGTTTTCACGCTGATTATAGAAGTTTATATACGAACCAGAATAGGGATGCTCGGAAACCAACGCGATTTATCATAGTTTCCATATTGTCACCAACGCATGTAGTTGAGCATGTGCGCATTTCCCCCCACTGCCCTGTCTGCCTCGATTCACATTCTTAAGGGCATACCCTTGCTTGATGAGGTCTTTCACACTTGGGATTTTCCCATCAGGATCATTATGAAATGTTACTATAATTCTTCCTGGTCGGAAGTAGCGTAGCATATGGTTGCAATTCTAATCGTTCTTCCTCACCTTTTCTTGAGTGATGAAATTTGCTCAGAACAGTCTTCCAAGGGAGGTGGCATCTCATCGTTGGAAGTGTTCATCACTCACGAACTGACTATATCATAGCCTTGTCCACTGATGAGCACAAGGCAGCGATTCAAAGGATGAAAAAGATGAAAAGATGAAAAACAATGATGTGTCGGAGGAGAGGATGTATGGTTGGACAGCGGCTGTCCGACAGCCCGAAAAATCTAATGTCAGCAACCTTGTCGCAGCAGTGCTGGCACACTGGGCCACACCTCGCGAGTACATACCAGCATCAATCGGGAATAAACAGCGCCATCATGCAGGGTGCGCACACACCACATGACGGTGGAATGCCATTGAGATTGTTGGTGATTGTCAAGTTTTGCTTGAGGCCATTCGGAGACATGACCACCTACGATCAATTCCGGATGCACAGGAAGTACGATCTCGTAGATGAATCGGCACGGAGTTACCAACTCCAGTTCGATTACGACAGGATGCGAAAATCAATCTCGCTGTCAAATAAAT